GGATTGTAATAACTATTAACATGTTAATTAATTTAATTTAATTTAATTATTTAACATGTTAAAACATGTTAATTAGTTTTTTGGTGAATTATTAAAATTATTTAATTAATTATTTGGTTTATTAAGTTAAGGATTTGTTAAATTGAAGTTCTAATTGATTTAAAATTTTTACAATAAATTAAAATTTTAAGGATTAATCAAATTTTCAATAAATTTAACTAAATATTTAATTAATTCATTAATTAGTATATTAATTAAGTTGTTTAATGTTTTACATAATTATTTATGTATTTAGTCATATGCTTAAATAATTTAAGGTTTTAATTTTATTATTATTAACTTAATTAAATGATTAATATTTTATTTGAATTATTATGAGATTAATTGATTAATTTCTGGTTGAATTGATCAATTTTTTATTTAATTATTTGATTGATTATTATGAGTTTAAGTTAATTAATTAGATTTATTATTAAATTAAGTAATTATGAGTTAATTAAATTTATTTATGTTCCATTTAAATAATTAATGATTTAATTAGATGATTATTAGTTTCATTAAGTATTTTATTAATTGGTTGAATTTAAGTAATTTTTATAATTCCAATAATTTATTAATGAGTTAATTAAGCAAGTTTAGGAGTTAATTAGTAGATTAATTGCTTAATTTGGTTATGTTAATTTCGACCAATGATCATTAAGCTAATTTAAGGTTTTAGGGCATAACTTTGAAAAATATGTTTTTGAAATAGCGAAAACACAATTTATGCGTTTTTGATATTTTTAAAAATAAAATTAAAAATGACAAATTAAAAAATGAATAAAAAAACACTATTTTTTGGTTTGTTTTTTTTATTTTTTATTTTCAAAAAACAAAAAACTGAAACTGAAATTGATCCTACGCAGGGCCTCAGGCATTCATAGATTTATGATGATTACTTCTAATATATTGTAGCCACTATGATATATAGTATTGCTCATATTGGCTCAATGTTCCTAGTTTCTTCCATCGATGTTAAACAATGTGTCCAATGTCACTTAAAACTAAATGCTAGAAGTTATGCTGCTACATGCATTAAGTCTAACCGATTCATTCCTTGTAATCTAAATGGATCAAATTGTAAACATTTCTAGATTAAAAAATTTATACAAAATGTAAACCAGGATTTACCATTACAAGGAGTTAAACATACTTAACCAGACGATGAAGGCCCTCCTATTCATTTCACTTGTTTTAAATCTTAGAGGTACATTCCTAAAAAATCAAGATTATTTTAATCTAGTAGGCCTAACAGCCCCCTTTTCAGTTTTAATATGCATTGAACTTAAGAAGGCTTGACTAGAATATGAGCCATTTAAGTGATCAGCAAAGTTATGTTTGACATCTTTAATCTAATTTGCTAGTTTTAACTAGACTAAGGTTAAAGATTGTTACAAATAACATAACAGTAATCATCCCAAAACCAAATCCCTCTATAAGTATTGGATCATAGCGTATCCATCATACATTTAGAATGTAATTGCATCACAAATCTAGTAGAAACTCTCATTTGTCATAAATAAAAAGTTCAGACCCTCGTCAACAAAAAATAAAAAATAAAAACTATAGGTGCTTACGCCAATAAAAGTTTTTCAACCAAGAAACTTATAAGAGAGAAAAGTCTCTTAGTTATGTATTATTAATGCCCCTTCTTCATTGGTTCATACCCACATCTGATGGGAAACCTTTAAGAGCCTACAGATTTGCGGCAATTTAATTAGAAATGATTTCTATCTCCACATCTAATAAATTATCTACTATGGTTATCCAATTTGCTGTATTCCTTCCACCTTAAAAGTCTACAGTAATTATCTCATTTCAATTAATCTAACACTCCAAGCTGTTTTTACCACATTAAAGGCTTTTTTGGCATTTGGTTCATCAACAGGCTCGAGGAAGAATCCATTCTCTGCCTCCTACACAATGAGTTCATTGGGAAAACATTCAAATTTGACTCCATCGATCAACCTGCTTTAAAAGTGCCCACTAAATACAAAACCTTAGCCAGCAACACTAAACAGCTAATGTAAACTTGGAAAGGAGACCTAACATGGTAATTCCCAAACTAACCTCTATAAGCATAGGAGCAAAGCACTTCCTATGTGCACTACTAATCTTAATTAACAGTTATATCCCTTACATAGGGAGATGATTAACCAAAAGGGATTGCAACTACACAAAACCTAAGTAGCACTAACACTTCTAAGAATGTGTCATACCCGTGTCAGACACGTATCGAACACCGACACTTGTCTAAAACACTCCGACACTTAACCAACAGTTATAAATATGTGCTTTTTATTTTTTTGGGCTTAAAAAGTCCCGGATATGGCTCAACACCACATCAAATATTAACTTAATTAATTAAAAAAAATGTGCAATTGTAGGATGTTTTAAATTTTAATAGATAAATTGAAGGAATTCTTTTGAAATATGTTATATGTCTAATTTTGAAAATTAAATTTTATAAGCATGAGATTTCAAAATAAAAGTTAAACTTTATTATTACATATTTTTTGTGATTTCTTTTATAGAAAATAATATATATATAAAAAAAATATATATATATATATATATATATATATATATATATATATATATATATATATATCCGTGTGTGTGTGTGTGTTATTTTAATAATTAATTAAAAATAAAAACGTGTTCATGATGTGTTGTGTAATATTTCTTTTCAAATTATGTCATTATGCATCCCTGTGTGTGTATCCATGCTTCATAGCGCAAAAAATTAAGACTAGAAACACGACTCCTCCAAAAAAAAATAAATCACTAAACAATAATTATCATTACAAAATAAAAAATCCTAAACCCGAAACCTGAAGGAGACAAAATATGGTTTTTCCGAATTGGCAGAATCTGAAAATGGCAAAAAGAGACTAAATATGCGAATTGGCGGGATCAGAAAATGACAAAAAGACACTCTCGGAGGCTTGGGCGGGACTCAGACCGGGTGGCGCATGACAGGTTTCACATTTTTAATATTTTTGGCGTTGGGCCCCGCATTCCATGCAGCGAGTTTTAATTGGATACCGAACGCAATTTTGCATGCAGTGTCCGGACCAAATAATTTTCCGTGAGTAGGGTTCCTCTCCGCAATTCATTCTCAAACTAGATAAAGAACTTCTCAAAACTAATAAATTTCTAACTCTGGGAGAGATTTACTCTTTAATCAAGTTAAAGTTTGCTAAAAAATTGGACAAATTTTAGCATAACCTAATCATAATGAACCATGACCATATTAGGTCAACCAACAACCTTAACGGATACCCTAATATGTCCAAGTAGGTGAAAAAATTAATTCAAAGCTAACATAACTCTCCAAATGTGTTGTGTCCTAATCATAGGGGAGACGGGATCTAACCCCAAAAAAACAAATCTTTTTTCCCTAATTTATAAAGATTTTTAGTGATTCTCTAGCCCATTATGAGAGGCAATTTTATAAATTTTAACAAATTTTTGGTAGGAGATTAAAGGAAATGCACAAAATACATCTAATAGCTTAAGAACATTATTGTATAAAATTAAACTTTCAGATAATTTTTTTCGATTTTCAATCAATTTTTATCATTAAAAATAAGAAAAAAGATTTTGCTAAATTTAAAAATCATGACATTAAAATTGGTGAAAACTGGACTGATGAATATAATCGTAGGTTGAGAAACAACATACCAATTTTCATTATTTTATATAAAATTGAAATTCCAAGATCATTAGAATTCAAAGGTCGATCAAGAATAATCTAGTTGTTGCAACCCGAATACATGAAGCAGTAGATTAATTATTTTATGGTAGATAAATATGCCTATAAAATTCTACCCATAAAAAATTTAAACTTATTAAAGCTCATTGAATTCTTCAAGAGTTACTTTAATATCAAAGATATTTGGGTCATTTTTGCTCAATTCAGGGCTTTCGCCAAAGTGCCACATGGGGTCCCTTCCTACCCAAAATTTGAGTATTTAGAAACTTCTGATGACTTGCAAAACTTGGATAACATAATATAAAAATTTCTCAATTTTGAATCAAAATGCAGGTTAATGATAAAATTTTAGCAAGAGAAACTCGGTGGATTGTCATTAATCATTCAGTGAAAAATTGATAGTTATTGTATATGTGTGTGTATATTGAGGCGGGAAGGGGAGGGTAATTGATCATTGATGGATTGCAAATAATATTCTCCATAGCTCTCATAGTTGTAATCCCCTCCCTAGTTCCCTGCTTTAAATAAGGTTTAGATTTATGAAAAGTTTCTAAAGGGAACCGATGCATGCAGACATGAACGCATGCCCATTTGAATTGACATTATTAGTTTATTCTCTTAAGCTTACTAAGCTTACTTATATGTTTAATGAGGATAGCTTGGAACTAATTTATGCTTGTTGTAAGTGAGCTAACAACTAACAGTAAAAAACTAAGAGTTAAAAACTAAAATTATTCCATGAAAAACAATATGTCAACCTAGCAGTAAAAAATGTCCTATTAGGTAGCCAGTTATATAAAGCAAGATAAACAAGGCTGGTTCAAGCTTTATTTGGTGATACTGAGCTGCTGTGCTACACAAACTGAAGCCAGGGATCTGCTCATGAATACAGATCCAAAGAAAAGATGCATGCAAACTTGAATGCTTGGGGCTTTCCATTGTCTATCTCTCGCATAAATCAAGTGCAAAAAAAGTAGAAAAAAAATCATTACCGAACAAAAACTTGGACCGAAATGCATTCGTTTTAAATCTTAGAAAAGCTTCAATCATCTAGTTGAGCAATAACAGCATGTTTCCAAAAACAGTGAGTGCTTGTGCACAAAGAACCTGATCAAATTTGCAAAGCTAAACTTCCATCAAACATAGAAACAATACTTTACTAAGGATGAGAATTAAAATCATAAAAGACATACCCGAAGTGAAAAATGACGCCAACACAAAAATTTAAGTCAGTCGGCTTAAATGCTAGAACTAAAAGATTACTGAATCACAAAAAGTAAATATTCACTGAGAAACATTTTAGCAGCAGCAAAAATGATTACAATTCTAGTCTTGGAATATAAAGATAATAATGACTGGTGCCTTTTCGATATCGCTTCACCTACTCCTCAGCTTCAGATTCTGAGTTACCACTCTTCTTACCGTGTTTCCTCGCATGCCTCTGATTCCTCAGGAACTTGGGATCCATCTGCTCAAATAATACAGTCAACGGTATATCTTTAAAAAAAGATCCCTGGTCCAGATCGAAAGAATTTCCATCCTCGGAAAATATGAAACACAAGACGAAATTAGACATAACAATAAGAGGAAAGGAGATTTCACCATACCCCTTTAGTGGATGACTGCCTCTGTCTCCTAGGCTTCTTGATGCCGTTCTTGTGAGCCTTGTGAGACTGGTTGTGAGCCGTGTGATTCTTGGACTTCGCCATTATAAGCCTTCAGGGAAGCAACTTATCACGATATCATGCAGACAATCGGGTGAAATATTTGCTAAGATGATGTACGCAGCGTCCGGTACATCAGAGGTAGTTATATCCGGGTTACAGTATAATCCAAATATAACCTCATTGTACTCCTGAATAACCTCTGATGTACGCAGCGTTGCGTACATCTTATGTACGCAAATATTTCTCGACAATCGGAGATCGGAGGGAAAGAAAAACGTACCAGATGCAGCTAAAGTGATTTAACGCGCCTAACTTAAAGCCCAAATGGCTAATCAATCAATTCGTGGATCAGAAAACTAGGGCTTCCGGCAACCAAAGGGCTTTACATGGAGGATGGAAAACACAATGTTATGGATTTACTATTATGGCCTTGGTTTTAATCATCGAGTTGGTTAAGCAATTGGCAGGTGTATGTGTCCTTTGGGGCGGCGGCGTCATCGAACACACAGTGGCTATTTGGGCTAGGCGGTGCGCCCGCAGCAAATGAAAAATCACAACACAGATTCGCAACACATGATCTCTTCACTCAATCCATGACGAATGTTTTATTTCCTATTATCCTTGTGATATTTTGAATAAGGCGAGTCATGTCCACGATAAACCTTCTCTAGGGCATCAATCTTCTTGTTTCAGTGTCTTTTCTATAAGATTTTAATTCATTTTCTCTAAGTTGAGCTTCGATTATTCTCACTCAATATAGGTGAGCTGCTCGAAAACCCTATTTCTCTCTTACCATCTCGCTATGAGTGAGCTTACTTTCTCTTTACACTTGTTCAACTTCATGTGAGCTTATTTTTGCTTTGGTTTTGAGTAATTTTATGTTATTGGTTCTTCTTAATCATTTATTGTTTGTGTTGTTGAGGCTTTGATATTTTCTGAAATGCTCAGTTGTGAAGTTTGGAATCATTTTACTTTCTGTTGTTTTGTGATCATAGTATGATCTTCCTATAACGTCAAGGAGCATTTGTCCAAGGAGAATTTTATGGTCCAAATATTTCTAGTTGTTGGATCATTATGTGCTTGTATTTATGAGCTTTGTAATTATGTTATGGATCATGGTTTCTTCTTTCTGTTGTTGTGTCGTTTTACCGTCTTCATTAGTTCAGTGCCCACTTCTATATGTTTAATCATATATATCATTTAGGTGTTAGATACGGGAACACATAAGAATTTTATGGGGGAAAACAAAAATTATTATTTATAAGCTCTCACTGAATTATGGCATTTAGGTGTTAGATATTTAAATACATCAAAAATGTGTGTTATGAGTAAATATTTCTAGTGAAGCTTGCAATATTGTCTTACAATATCGAGTATAAAATTGATATTTTTGTGCTAGTTATGTCACGACATTAGAGTTATATGCTATGCTTAAGAATTTAGATATTGTGGCTCTCAATATTTTCTCACAATATTAATCACTCTTGTGTTATTTAGGTGTTAGATATATAAAGACATCAGAGTTGCGTAGTAAGCTCTTCAATTTTTCTTACAATAAGATCGAATACTATGACATCTCGGTACTATATATGTAAAATACATTAAAATTTTGTGGTATGCCCAAAATTTTCTATTTAAGTCATTCATACACTTAGGTGTTAGAAATATAAATACATCATAATTGTGTGATATGATTGAATTTTTTTCTTATTTAAGCTCTCTATGTTTTCTTACAATATTATGCATTACTATTATATTCAGGTGTTAGAAATGTAAATACATCAAAATTATGTAGTATACCCGAAATTCTCTGTTTAAGCCCTCCATATTTTCTTACAATGCTATGCAATACTACATCAGAATTGTGTGGAATGCCAGATTTTTCTAATTAAACTATTCAATTTTTGTTACAATACTTTGTAATACTATGACATTTAGATGTTAGATATGTAAATACCTTTGAATTGTGTGGTATGACCACAGATTTCTTGTTCAACAATCAATGTTATCTTAAAATATCATGTAGAATCTTGCTCTTTTGTTGTTGGATATGTAAATGAATTAGTATTGTGTGGTATATCCGAAAAGTATTTGTTTAATCTCTAAACATTTCATACAAATTCATGTAGAAATATGATATTTAGGTGTTAAATATATAAATACATCAGATTTGTGTGGTATCTAAGATATGAAATGTTTTCCTTTTAAGTGCATTAAAAATTTGCAGTGGTGTTTCACACATATTAATGCTTTGTTGTTGAAGCTTTCAATTCCTTTCTTTTGCCATTTTACTTGGTCTTTTTCTAATGAAAGACATGGCACTTTTAAAATTTTGTAGTGGTGTTTCATACATATTTAACTTCAAATCCAAGCATTTTAATCCAAATGAAACACCATATGGACACCAAAACTTTATGACTTTTTTAAGTCAGTGTTCGCCACCTAGACATCTGCTTGGAGAGTCATGTTTTTGTGTTCTATCTTGCATAGCTAAAAATAAAGCTGGTTCAGGTGTCTCGGTACCATGATGGATGCTAGATTTCCAGCCTTAGGTGCCAAGGGGCCTATAGTTTTGACATGCTTTCGGTTTTGTACTCATCTTTAAATCAAGCGTTGTCTTGACTAGATTAAGCCCTATGTTTCTAATCTATTAATTGCCCCTGGTCAAAGGAAGCATAGGCAGTGCTCGGTTTTTACTTCAGGCATAGGGTTGCCTAATATATAATTGTAATAGTTTGGCTCCAAAAGCCACCCACATATGTTACTTATAAGTTGCATAAAACATAAAAAAATTACCCAAAAAAATATAAAAAATATATAGATGTAGGAGATAACATCACATATTTTCGACACATCAACCATTTACATATGTTACTTATAAGAGTCATGCTTTACCAATTATACATAACCAACACACAACACAACATACTTTGAAAATTATATATAGCATGCACATAACACAACATGTTTGCTAATAACACATCATAAACATATAGGTATAACATGGTTGCAATTTAAACTATAAACACAATATGCTTGCAATATCAACAAAAATTACACATGCCTTCAAATTAATGTCGCTTACACATACTTTCAAACTAATGTCGTCCACACATTCTTTCAAATTAATATGGCCTATGCATGCTTTCACACTAAATGATCTACAATAAGTGTTTGTGAATTAACATAAACTATGTGTGTGTTTGCACATTAATGGAAGTCATAACATGTGTTTGCAAATTAACAAAATCTATACATTTTGTTTGCATATTAACATAAAACATAACATGTGTTTGCAAATTGACATAAACTATACATGTATTTGTACATTAACAAATCCATAACCTATTTTTCAAAATTAACATAAACTACACATATATTGGCACATTTACATAAACCATAACATGTATTTGCAAATTGACATAAATTATTCGTGTATTTGCACGTTAACCTAAACTGTAACATGTGCTTGTAAATTGACATAAACTATACATGTATTAGCACATTAACATAAAACAAATTGACAAACTATACATATATTTAAATGTGCACAATAGCAAAACCATAACATATGTTTCCAAATTGACATAAATTATACATGTATTTGCACATTAACATAAACAATAACTTTTGTTTGTAAATTGACATAAACTATTACATGTGTTTGCCCATTAATAAAATCATAACATGCTTCACGAATTTTAAAGTAAAATATGTGTTTGCTCAATCTAGTCACCTAATGACACTAAGAAGGGGTCATGGGTCTAGATGGCATACAAGCTACATGGACTTTTGGTCCTGTACATTACACAACAGACTTCCATATGCCATTTTTCTTTTGTAATTTAAATTTCTTCAAGATGAACTTAGATATCCAGTTATCTATGACTTTGTTTTTTTTTTATGATTTTCATATCACTACATGTATAATGTGCATCTTATAACAATATTCATTTAACGTGAAAATGCTTCCACAGGGCGGTTAGAAGTGGAATGAGGATCAAGCACAAAAATCTTGATCAAATTACTCAATATTGTCATGTCTGTGTGTGTGCCTCTCTCTCTCTCTCTCTCTCTCCCTCTATATGCCTCTATATGGCATCTCTCTCTCTCTCCCTCTATATGGCAATTAAATCAAGAGCTCAGAAAATTGTGTGGATTACCTCTGCAGCACAATTAATATTTTAGTTTTACAGAAAATGGATCTTCTACATATAACGTCGATAAAATTTAAAATGCAATGGCCTTCACAGGGTCATTACATTACACATTGAAAAGAAAAATAAGTAAACCAAAAATATCACCAACAAAATGACTTCTATTATCACCCCAAACAACTATTCTTTGGCATCCCTCAGGAGCATAACCATCTCCACAAAAAAAATGTATGTTTTTGACAGATGACAGAATGACAGTGTACATAGGTAACTCTTCAAGCAGCAGCGAGCCTGGAAGATCCAACAGGTCATACAGTATAGGTAGTCATATTGTGTTCTGCTCCAGTGATCTCAAATTAATCAATAAATTTCATCTGTATTCACTGGAAGCCCTTGGTTTAGTCTTGTTCATTGAATTCAGTTGCTGCGATACAAAAAGGACTCCCATGATGATGATCAGGCAACCTACAAGTGTACTGAAGAAAAGAGCTCCTGGTTGCCTGGTTTGTACAAAGCCATAAACTCCACTGGATGTAACCAGAATAATGTCAGTGAAGCCATCACCAGAGAAATCTTCCAGGACCAAGGCATGTGTAGGAGAGCCAGGCAGCTCAATTGAAGATAAAAGGCTGCCTCCAGGAGAGATGACCACAGCCTCTTGGTCGCCGCCGGCGATTATCACATCCTTGTTGTCGTGTGCTCGCAAGGAAAAGGCTTTCAAAGTAGGCACCACCTTAGCTTCTTCGGTCATTCCAGATGGAGAAGGAAGATTGGACCATGTTGCACCGGTTGTGAGCTGCCATCTCCAAGTGGCGCCTTCACCGTGCAACCCTGGTGTGTATGAAGTAACCTGTTGAACACCGAAGAGGAAAAGGGATTAAGCTGCCATGAATGTAGGGTTTATCACCATCAGAAAAATAGAGGACGGGAAGAAGATGGCGAGGATCTGAATTTCAGCTCATGGGAAAATCTTCATGAGAGAGGGAGGGTCGAACCTCTCCATGACTTGTCAAGAAGACAACGTCGCGATGACTTCCTTTTTTATTCTTATGGCCATCATCTCTGAGTAACAGCATCGGAGTAGCCACCTCCAAAGCGCCTGAATCAACTCTTCTGCCAAAACTCCTTGCAAATTCTCCGTGCTGGAATAGGTTGAAGTGTGAATGGTGACAGATGGAAGCATTGAAAAGCTGCTCTCGCACAGGTACGCCAGATGTCGCAACAGCCCAGCAGGGCTTCAACACTTCCATGGAACCAGTCACAACAGTTCTTTCGGCTCCATGTCCTCCAACAACCTAAAAAGAATATTAAAGAAATCAAATTAACCTGCGAGCACACAAAAACATTTCCTGGAAACTCAGTTCAAGATACTATATGATGATAAACCTCCCAATGGCTAGGATTGGATTTCCCAAAACTATATGTTCCACCCACACTCTCCTCACTATATACTAATACTATTGGCCTAACGGTTTTATCCACCGAGACCCAGAGAAATTCTTCTTATTATCGTTGTACTAAAATTGCATGGTAAAAAAGTTTCTTTCAACCTACATACAAATAATATGTTTATTTGAGACTGAAGTGCAAATTAACAGCAACTATGGAGCAGGTGGGATGTGGGATGCGTGCTGGTCGGTTAGAAGGGAGGGGAGTGTACGTGTAACATCAGCACAAGAGAAGAGTTATAAAAAAAACTTCTTTTAGGCCAAGGAAAAGCGGAATTATAAAAGCTCTGAAGAGGGGAAGGCACTTGAGAAGTTTAGAGGAATGAAGTTCTCACGTCCATCTCTCTCAATCTCTCCCTTCATATATTGACAGACGAAGTTTGCATTGAGCGTTAAAACCTTTTACATTGTTTATTTGTAAATAATATGTAATATAAATTAGGTATTGCAAGGGTGTGGTGAATGATAATATTTACACAAGAGTGGAATAATCAAAGAACAAAACAAGCTGATAATCAGTAGAAAAATTTCATAGGAAAATAGACAAATATATTTTAAAAATAATGTTATGATGGAATGTAATTATTCGTGCATGCTTATTTTTTTATTAAAATTAAAGTTCCATTGAAAATACAAAGCCAATGCATATAAAAATAAAGCAGCCGATGATTCCAAATTGATAATAGTTCAGACATTAAGAAATATTTCTGCTAAATCATAGCTAGACAAGACTGAAAGGATCTTTTTCAACTTAGTGTTTTTGAGTTGTGCCGCCTACCATGGTTTTTTGGTTGGCAGAGTTTGTAAGGTTACTGGGGTCACGAGTTCAATCCCGCCTATGTGCGAAATGAAATTCTTAAGCACATGAAGTTGGTCGAAGGCACGTCTAATAGTCTCTGGTCAATCTTTAAAAAAAAAAACAAAAACACACACACACACACTTAACGTTTTTGAGTAACATAACAAAAAAATTGAGCCGGCACATGTCAATATACAAAAAAATTAATCTTGAATTCAGATATCATGACTATGTATACCATAGGCCACACCTCATTTGTTGCCCAAGTGGATTATAAAAAACAACAATCACATAAAAAATGCACAAGCTAAAAAATAGTAGGGGCATTTATATACATACCTGTGGAAAGCCAGGAAGGTAGGTCAGTCGGCCACCTCATAGATCGCGAGAAATCTAATTGGAGACAACTTCGAAAATCACTTGATTAGTTTTTTTTCTCTTCCTATTTATGTTTTTTATGTATATTTCTAAATTATTTCCTTTCCTAATTTAGATTAGATATATTTTGTAAGTTTATAAGATAGGAGGGTCTGGTTCCCCAATATATTTTCTTTCCTAATTTAGATTAGATATATTTGGTAAGTTTATAAGATAGGTGGGTTTGGTTTCCCAATATATGTACCTTACATGTGAATGATGAAATTGAGACTTTCCACCAAAAATTTATTTTCTACATGGTATCAGAGCGTTGAAACAAAAACTAGTCTTCCTCCTCCCTACCACAGAAGCTCTCTTGAACAAGTATCTCCATCTCTCGGACAACTCTCTCCTCCCAGCCATCAAGATCTCCCAATAGCCAAACCAAAACTCACATTTTTTTTTTCTAGCGATAGGATTGTGGCATGTAGAGACCCGAAACACCTGTTTTCTCCGGCGATGGGATTGTGGCGTGTAGAGACCCAAAACTACTTTTTTTTTTCTTCCTCCCATTTAGCTTCACTGCTCAATCAAATTTCTTCATGCAGGCCCTCCTCTGCTCTTCTTTGCAGCCGAAATTCTTCCTGTTGTAGGCCTTCCTCTGCCAAAATTCTCCCTGCAACCAGAATCCTCCTTGCTACAGACCCTTCTCTGCCAAAATCTTCCTTGTTTCCTGCAACAGCAAAATACCTTTCTGCCAGCAACAACAACCGATTTTCTTCCTACAACAGCGATAACAACCGACTTCCCTTTTGCAACAAGCAACTACTCTAAATATGCAAATGGTTTATGACCAAGCACGAAATGAAAACATCGAGCTCTACTCCAGAGGTTAGTTCTGAATCATAGATCAAGAATTTTGTCCAAACTGCCCATGAACTCTCAACCTTTATCACAAATCATAAATTCAATGACCATAACTTCCTTTAGTGGTCACAATCTATGGAAAAGGAAAAGAGGAACATCTCATGAAAGAATGCACAATTCTTGAGCTCATTGATCCCAACCACCACACATGAAAAATTCAAGATCAATATGGTTATGTCACGGCTAGTCAACTCAATGGTCACTAAGGTGGGAGAAATTTTTTACTCGACAAAATTGTCAAGGAAATCTGAGAGACTGCAAGAGAAATGTATTCCAACACTGAGAATAATACAGATTTTTTTGAGATCGAACCATACTTCATAGTCTTCGTCAAAAAGAGCTAAGTGTCACCTAATACCTAACACCATAGCCAAGTATTGAATACAATTGGATATGTTTCAGTCAGGTGTGAAAATTTCCACAAGATATTGTGATGTTTAAGTCCATCGACAAGAAGAGCACTATCAAATTCCTAGTAGGACTAAGGAAGTGGATAACGTGAGAAGAAGGATTATAGGAATAATGCATTTACCATCTACCCGTGCAGTTTTTTCTGAAGTTAGGACAAAAGAGAGTATAAAGAAGCTAATGTTGACTGAAAATGGGGGTTCACCAAGTACTGAAAGCATGGCCCTGTACACCCATAATTCTTCCCATGGTTAAAAGCTCAAGATGGATCATCCAACAAGTGACTATTTTAAGAAAATTGGGCATATCAAAAATAAATGTTGAAAACTACATGGAAAGCCTATAAATTGGAAACCTGAATCTGAAAGAAAAGATCAAGAAAACAAAGCTAATGTTGACCGAACCATTCATTAAGGAACAGCTTGAAGTTCTGAAAAAATGTTCCATGAGGGCAATTCAAAAAAAACATACCACCAGCCCCATGACAAGCTAAGCTAATATATCATTCTTCCATTTTTCCAGCAATAAGAGATTCAGACCTTGGATCATAGATTCAGGAGCTTCTGATCATATGGGTATGAGACATCAATGCTCTAATCAACTATCAAGAGACTTCCTTATCTTGATCTGTCAGGCTTGTAGATGTATCACACTAAAATTTGCTGCAAAAAGAGATGTGGGGCGCTCTCGGGATTTTATTCTTTCCTCTGTTTTATATATTCCACGACTGAACTAAGTCAAATTTCAATTAATAAGCTTCTCAAGTTATGAAATATATACTTAATTTTTTGCAAACTCTTGTGAATTTCAAGTGGCGGATTCGGGGAAGGTGAATGGAAATACTAAAATGCATCAAGACTTGTACTAACAAAAGGAAAGTCTCTCTCTAAACACACAAATGGTCTCATCTTCCTTTTTTTCTCAAATTTTTTAGTTTGTTGAGTCTATACTTGTCAAAAAATAGATCATGCTAAGACATTGTTACATGGGTTATTCTAATTTCAATTATGTTGCAAAATTGTATCCACATTTTTTTAATAAAAAACCTAGTTTTTATCAATGAAAGAATTGATAACTTGCCAAATATCCTAGTACAAACCCTCACGCCTTTTTTCTATTATCCACAGGGATATTTGAGGAACTTTAAAGGTGAAAATCCTAGGTGAAACTAGATGATTTATCATTTATTGACGACCATACTAAAAATACTTGGGAAATTCTAGTTTACTAGTTTTCAATCTACATGAAATTTTAAAGTTTAGTTATTTTTAAAAGTTAATCATATATGCTTAGTTACCTAAATCATGTGATCAGCCCAGAATCACTTATTTCCCTTCACAAGAGCACTAATCTAGAAACAATATTCCGTGTGAATTAACATAAATGTTTCTCTAGACTGTTCTCGTACAACTAGATCACAATACATTTGAATTCTACAATCAACCAGATTGCAAATCAACTAAGATATAAAGGTTAATTCATCTCACCACGATAAATCTACAGTAAAAGCATATCAGAAAAGCCAAACTTATAATTCCTATATTACCAATTCAAGTAAGAAAAGAAGTTCTATTCCTTAATCATGTTGGAGACAACACAAATAAACATTTCATTCATTAGAAAGATTAAAAACAAGAGTTAAAAAGATAAAATTCGATGGAGTTCACCAAGAAGAATAACATTTGTCTTTCTTCCTCTTCCAAATGATGTACCAAACTTTCAAGAAAAATTACACACTCAAAATCCACACAAACACTCCATAATTAGACTCTCACACTCGAGCTTTGTATCTCAATGTTTTCCTTATGTTACTTCACACAAAAAAGCCCTTAAGACTTCGACAGAAGGCATTTTTATTTCTTTCATCGCGAATCAGCGCATTGAACTGTTAAACTGCAAAAACGCGTGAACTAGCGCTTAAGGAATGAACGTGGAGCGCCTACTTTCTGTCTGCTTTGTTTCTATGCAAGGGCGTCTAGGCGCCTATATGTAGCACGTTGGCGCTTATTTCATGGCACTTAAGCGCCACCAACCAAATGCCAACTTTCCGGCTTCTATGTCATGCTAATTCGAAAGGGAAGAATCCCAAAGGTGTGGTGGGAAAGCAAAATTTTAGAATTCAAACGTGTTGTCATCTACTTGTGCGAGAGCAGACTAGTGAAACAATTATGTTAATTAACACTAATTTAGGAGAGCAGGAATATTGTTTCTAGATTAGTGCTCTTGTGAAGGGAAATAAGGGATTCTGGGTTGATCACTTGATTTAGGTAACTAAGCATATATGATTATCAAATTTTTTTGACGTATCGGACTGGACAAGGAGGAGAATTGCTATTTGATTGTCACCCACATGTACCACTAAATCTTCACAAAGTAATCCACGGTCGATTCAATTTGATTTGAAGTGAGAGTAATCTGAACCTTCTTGTATGGAGGTGAAGCTGACGGTAAAGTATCAACCTTTATATACTGAAATGCCCTCAGTCGTTTCTGTCCCCGTGTTTACAGCTGGTGTCACAGTTTCATCATAGATGTTTGCTCACAGGTGGGGAAAAATCTTAGGTGTTTTGGGGGACGGTACAGTCGACAATGAGATTCAGGTGATGTTAGAATTGAAGACGAGAAACCAGAAGCATTGACAAATGAAGTCGAACCTCTCCCAACTTCGAGAGAATAATGTGGGGCTACTGAACTAGTCGGTTGGGCCATGTGGTAAGGAAACCAGTTGTAGCCGGTCTGGGAAGGTCGGTCCAGAGTTAGGATTGAGCGGCAATGCCGCCAACCCTTCCCCTATCTTTTCTTTTATGTTTTGCCTGTTGGAGTCTTTATATAAGCTGTTTTTTGGGATTAAGGTTAGGTTATGTTGGATTGTTTTTTTTTTAATTTTGTGTAGAGTATCTTCTTCCCTTGTTAGGCTTGTATCCGACAGGTGCTACCCCCTTTTCCTACAGTAGTACTTGACATCCAGCCCTCTAACTGTCAATAACACCCCTCATAGCCGACTTTCCACTTATCCATCTAGCAATCTACATCCAGCCGCCCCTCGCCTACAACTATACTTGCTGCCCAACCCGTCCCACCATCACCCAACAATCCACCACTTCCTTCCCTGCAGTTTTTCCTTATCCTCCCCCTCCTCCAAGCCTCAAACCGTCCACTAAAACCCTTCCCAACCTACCATATAATCGCCAGCCCTTCCCCTTTCCATTGTTGATTCGCCGACGCCACAACTGCCCTCTAATCTTCTCTTCTGGTCCTAGCCTGAGGTTATTGTTATTGATTTGTATTTTCATTTTGAGTTGCGTTGTAACCCTAATCCCTTTGCTTAATAAAGTTTACTTTACTTTCCGTTGGTTTGAACTAGTTCCGGTATCAAAGTGCCTGTTGGATGATACAAAGACTTAGGAGTAAAGGTGGATATAAAGGAATTCGAGAGAAAAATGAATCTGGATGGCTTTGCTAAACGGCTGCAGATTGTCGAGAGGATCTTTGAATACAAAGAGGTATCAAATGAGAGAGTGAAACTCCTAGTAATCAAGTTGAAGAAAAAAGTCTCGTTGTGGTGAAAGAGTATGAAGAGGGAGGGACAGAGAAGGATAAGACAATATCATATTATGGGAGAAAATGAAAAATAAATGCAACGACGATACCTACCCCCACACTATTGCAAGGATAATTTCTTGAAGTTCTACTCCTGCAACAGAGGAAATCATCAGTGGAGTACACAACAGAATTTATGCAACTTAAGCTGAAATGTGAGCTAACAGAGACTGAGGAGCACACGACAACTACGTACTTGAGAGGCTTGAAGCCCTCCGTCAACAATGTGGTCTAGCTACAACCTTATTGGACGTTGAGTGACGTTCAAACATTGACACTAAAGATGGAGGGATAGCAAGAGCAAAGCAGACACCCACCGTCCTTCAGACAGCCTCCCACATCTGGAGACATTAGTAGGAGCACGCCTAAGTTGTGAAGACTGGCTAGGAGATTGAAAAAGCTACCCAGGGTAAGAAAAGACTTCAGAAGAGTAGCACCCCCAACACAATTCCGACCAGGAAATACTTCAGGTGCCATGGATATGTATACACCGTAGCCAACTGCTCGACAACAAAGCTAGTTACTTGTACGAACAAGGCGCAGTGGAGGAAGTGAGCAACAAGGAAGCAACTAAAGAACAAGGTGAGTACTAGCTTCCACTGGATGAGGGCGAGTTGCTTGTGGTTCAACAAGTCCTTCGAACTGAGGGGTACAAGGGAACAACAATGGCTTCGTCATAATGTATTATACACACGGTGCAAGGTGAAGGAAAATGTATGCAGCCACATCATTGATGGAGATAGCAGTAAGAATGTGACGTCTACATAGATGACCAATGAGCCTCACGACAAATAAACATTCTCAGTTGTATTCCCGAACATGGTTGAAGAAGAAGAATAGTGTCAACGTTGATAAGAAGTGCCTCGTGAAATTTTCTACTTTGAATCAACTGCGGGATCAAGTGTTGTGTGACGTGTCCATGGATGTCTTTCACATCTTATTGAGGAAACTGTGTCAGTTTGCTCGCTGAGCTCAACATAATAGATTCAAGAACACCTACTAATTCACCAAGAATGGAAAACACATAATTCTCCTACTTTCAGCGGAGTCTGAGGTTACAAGTGCTCTTGCTGAGTTTGGTGAAGATAAAGGATAGTAAGACAAATGAGCCGATTTAAATACAAATCAACCACAACAGAGAGAGTTCCAGGACAACTTGATACAGAGTTGGCCGCTAGAGCCACCACCACTAAGGGGAGTGCAATCCGTCCCCGTGTTAGTTAGGGTTGAACCCGTTTTGGACCACCTATGGAAGAGGTTGCAGAGTATGTTGGGGAAACCTTCCAAGTTCAGTTAAGCAGTGTAACCTAGATGGTTAGACTGATATGGATGGCAATTTGTGAATGGAGAAAACCTTCTCAGGTATGTTGGGGAAGAGTGCAATCGTCGGTGGAATCCAAATGCTCACATGAATGCAGTCGAAGACCCTCCAACTCCGAGGGCCCACAACAACCCCTCTACCTCAACGTGTGTGACCTGACTGCATACTATGAAAAAATAAAAGCTTCGACAGATGAGGTCGAAGCTCTCCCAACCTCGGGAGACTGCCATGGGCGTATATTCTTGCGGGATCGCGGATGCGCGGTATGGGACCTCTCAGTCCAGGCAAACCAAGGGTCAACCGACCCACCTGATTGCATAGGCTTATCGCCCACTTGATGGGGGCTAGGAGTGTAAACGAACCGAACACGAACAAACAAAGCTCGTGTTCGTGTTAGATTCTTTCGAAATTACGTGTGTTTGAAATTGTTCGTTAACAAATGACTGTTCGTGTTTGGTTTGTCTATAAACCGAATGAAAAAAAAAATGTTTGTGTTCGTCTTGTTTGCTTATCGAACAAATTGAACATGAACTCCTCGACGAGCCGAACACGAACTGTTCACGACCAACGAGCTTTTTTGACAGCCCTAATGGGGGCCACTTCTTATTTACCCTAGTATTATATATGTTAATTCTTCATGTTTGTAGGGTACTTTTGGGTGAGTTTTCTTAGGGATAAACATTGACATCTCTTCCTCCCTTCTAGGGTTAAATCCAAGAGCGAGTGGTGCTCCGATTTTATCTCATTCCGACGTGGTGATCCTCAACTTCACTTTCCTTCACTTTCTTCCCACTGATGTCGCCATCACCATACCTGTTGCAGCCGCCCAAAAACAGCCCTCAGCTATTTTTTTTTTTAAGTCCCGTCTTTCCAGTTCATCCATAACACCTTTCCACCATTCCTTCCTCATTGCCAGCCATCCAACATCCTCCTCCATCACCTTGTCACTTCCCCAGCCTTCAGAACCAACCTCTGCCCAATAACAGTTGTTCCAGCCATCCCATAGTCCATTCTCATGGCACCTATCTGCTGATCCAACCATCAGAACAGCCCTCTGCCCATTGACTGCTATTCCAGCAGGGCGTAGCCATCTCCTTTGCAGCCTCCCCATTGACCCAGCCTCCAAAAGCACCACCTTCACCGCCTCGACTGTTGTCTATCCGTCCAGAGCCGGCTACTCTTCTACCACAGCCTTCCTACCCTCCTCTTGCCCTCCAACCACAGCAAGATTCTCACCATCCAGACACAAACACCTAGCTCCCCTCCATCTAGCTGAACCAACCACCACACTTTTGAGATATAATCTTAGTTGTGTTTGTGTTTTGTCTGTTGCTATTTCTATTTCCGTATGAGTGATTGCATTTCCTTAATTTTGAATTTGGCAATAATATTTGACTTTTCTGTCGTTGGTTAACTCTTGTATCATTGCTGTTTCTACTTCAAAAAAAAGTCACCTTTCACTCGAGAAGCTTCCAAATATTGTTAATTATTACATATCTCACGTATGTTAAATAAGATGAAATTTTTTATTTCAAACAACATCCTTCTGAACAAAAACAATTTTTTTATTGTAATTTAGTTTCTATGAGATTGAGCTGTATATCTAGATTTCCATAACTGAAAAATGCAAAGGAATGCAATCTCTATAACTATAATGAAAATTTTCATCTTTAAAAACTAGGGTTGACGAGTACGGGGGAGTGGAGTACAGTTTCAGAATATTTTCGCACCTGAACATGGTCCAAAACTCCATCTCCATTAATATCAGCATGAAGACCTCCTTCTGGAAGATGCAGCTGGCACAAAAATGGAGAGTAAAATTTCCACTACATGTGAAGTATAATACAATAACAATGAGAGAATTATGTATAAGGAAAACAATTACCTAGAAAGCGCAAATAGAAGTGTCAAAGACATAGTAAAAACATAAGCAGAGTAATTTTATCTGTGTAAACATCCATTTTGGTACATACATAGTAAGCATGCCTATTATAAAGTACATTCATCCATGTTTGGACTTGGAGTAGACTAATGACCATGATGTAGAAATACATCAATAATTTTAGTGTTCTGTTCATTCATATGTGCAATAATATTGTTTAGAAGTTGGAAACCAGAGTTACCTTTTGGAGGTAAGGAACAATTATGCCAGGCAAACACCTAAATATGTTAATATAACTAAAAGTAACAAACATAGAATCGTAAGAAGAGAAGTATCATATCATCTTGTTAACTGCTAAAGGAGCTAGCAGCTCGACAAGTGTGGGTGTGCATGGGCATACTTGCATATAAAAAATTTATTCCTCCTCTAAGGATAATAATGCCAATTCTAGTCCAAGTTAAATCTATGTGTATGAGCTTCCAACATTTGATTATGTTTTTCAATCATTTTTAAAACCATTGAAACTAGAGACATACATAATCTGATACATTTTTAAGATTATTTGAACATTCATCATATGAACCAAAAAAAACTCAATGAATGACTTCAATTGTATAAAAATTAATTTGTGATTTTCATAGGGTCCAATCTACAAATGATTTGACTTGCATATAAATTGTTCATAATATTTACAGCTTCTTTAATGTTTAAGATAGCTTCTTTAATGTATAAGATTGGTGAAATAAACTGCATAAAGTTAACTAGGTTGGATCTCCATAAGATCAATACTTATGATTTTAAAAAAGAGCTCCTTCAATGATTTTTTTTAATAATATTCTCATGTCTCATCCAATTTTTTAGTGTAAAAGACTAATGAAATGATTATATTTTTCATAATTTTTCAGTACTGATGTCAATGGTATAAATAATGAACACTGATCATGACCTCCAGTATGAGTATTTCAAGATCAAAAGCTTGTGAGTAAAAAAATGATCAAATAAATCAAGCTAATGGAATTAATGTGAAATCCATAAGCGGAAAGTGGGTCAGAATTAAGATAAACAGTTAAAAGGAGCATGAAAAAACATTTTCATATACTTGAATAATATAACACAGTGCAGAGCTTAATAATGAATCAAAAAGAATGATACAAGCCAAAACTTAATTGTTGAGATAAGGCAAATGATGATGATGACCAAATTGGGTGGATAAAAAAATATTAGAAAATAATAAGTTGTCTATCTAAAAGATATAATTTGGAAATCTAGTTGAAAAAAAAAACTATTTATCTTATTTAAATAGAGGTAAATATAAGAGAAATATTCTATGAAAAAACAAAACAATAGGAAATTAGTAAAACCATGGCCCATTAATCAATTTACAACCAGGATGGCCACTCATCCTATTTATCTATGAAAAAATAGGAAATATTTGATTATCAAAATCTAGCATATATGAAAATAATGGACAATGATCTATCCAGCCAACTTGCCACATTAAACTGAGCCAACATATCCACAAGCATAGATAAGAAATTTTAATAGTTATTAGTTGGAAACTAATACTCACTTCTTACAGTCTTCACAAAATTGCTGGTAACAGCTTTTGTAACTTAAGAAAATGAATATACACCACAAGGTTTAGTTAGGAAATGATATGGTGCTGATATGTTGAGCATTTTTGCAAAAAATAAAATCATTTCTACTTTAACATCGATACAAAAATCACTATTTATGAGCATTGGTTGATATTATAAGACTGGGCATACAAGGTGGGGCATTTTAGTTATCTTTCCTGCACACAAAATTGTGATGTGCCAAATTTCGTAAGGAAAAAAAAATAAATAAAATGACCAGATGAACTCTAAGTATGAAATATGGCCCACACTTAAGACCATGTTTTCTATTTGTTTTGTAAAGTGTGTAACTTTATATTAAACCACTTGATGGATGTAAAAATTGCAATTGCAAATATAAAGTGAACTCACACAACTTTTTGTTTTCGCTTTGTCATCTTTTTATATGTAAATAGATACCTTGAATGCGCTGAAAATATATATATACTGAGAGTATAAGTGCATGTCGTTTTCTTTTATCATAAAGCTGTTAAATGCAAGCATTGCTGTTACATATAGGGTAATCTTTTAATGCATATGTATAAGAATTGAATTGCAGAAGGATCTCAGAAAAACTAGTAGATGTCATAATGTATGTGAGTTGGTAAGTTCATATAATCAAAAAATCTCTTATGCATTCAACTTCAAATATCAGTTTGGCTGCCTTCATCAGAAGCAAACTTAGTTAAATTTAACTAGCCGCCCATGCATGGCTATGAAAATGCAACAGTAACAGTTGAATTTCGGTAGCAAAAATTATCTGATTTTCTGCACTAGATCAATCAGTCTTAGCCAACCATTTCCTAAAGGTCTATGGCTCAATATCATCTTAAGCATGTAGGTAGAATCCTTCATTAAAAAGTCAAAACTAACGTAAGAAATAAATAGCAACAAGATCAGATAGCGCATAATTGGCCACAAGGTTTATTAACTATAAATTATTGAAAAAGTTGGGTATTTTTGGCTTAACGATTGGGGTTCTCAATCAAATGTTTTGCTTTTCATTTTACTGGAATTATCAGTGACATTCCTACTCCATTAGTCTCAAAACTATACACATTTTAAGGGACAAATCAAAGCAAGAAAGTTTAAACAACATAAGTACAAATTGTCATTAAGAAAATGTGAATGCATGTGCAACAATTACCATCGATGAAAAAAAAAAAAGGCCTCACATAAACTTAATTATCACACGAAAAACAAAGATATGTAATGTGAATTGCAAGTTATGGATGGGCCTTAGTCAAATGGGAAGCTAAACTTATGATCAACATAACCCTCATGCAGTTAGTTTCAGAATTTTATTTTAACTTCATCGGTAAACAATAGAATTCACTCCCCCTGCCATCAGCATGTAAGAACTACAGCAAACTACAAAAGATAAGCAGAATGATTTCAAAAGAAAATTATATACCTTGCAAATTGTTCGCCCAGATGCAATGTGAACAGCCTCTATTCCTTCCTTCTGATGCGCAACAACAACATTAGGGACCCACCAAAGCTGTGTATGATTTGTTATGGTGGGAACATAAAGATGCCTCTGCATTCATAAATATACAATAGGAAATCAGCAAGCTGCTTTAAACAGCCATACTTATTAGTGATTTAAAAAACAGTATTTATGTATAAGTGATTATTCAGTAACAGCTCGTGCAATAAAAACTAAACTAGTAATAAGATCAGTAAAAACTATTAAAGGCCATTAATCTCTTATGTGTCCTATATATTTTTTCTTAACAGAACAAGAAAAGGATAGTGAACTCATTAATAAATTAGTCTACAAAACTTCAAATACTAATGCGCTTGTTGAAATAAGTGATTAATTATCTATGCATTCGTGTGTAAATTGATGTTGACATCGTTATATATGAAGAACATTCAAGCATGCCAAGCAAACACACATGATAAATTCAGACAAAAATAAAGATATGCAACTTCAATTTGAATAGGAATTCCACAATAAGCACACCTTCTTTTGTTTTGCTGAGCCCGCATAACTTGCAGCTTTCCCAATTGCCCTGGCAATTTTATTAGATGAATCCTTCCCAGGAGGATTGTTTTCAACAGGCATATGCAAAGGATTTGTTGAGGACTTTCCAGATATTCTCTTTAGTGATTTTCTTTTGTGCTTTCTAAAATGTGCAAGCTCCAAGGAAGTATCTTCTCTTCTATCCTAACAAATACACACGATCTAGATATAAGTTAAGATCACTCGATGCTTACTTTTAATTAAGACAGAGAAAGTTACATATACCCAACGATGAGGCATTACTCCAAGAAGTGATTCCCTGAATTCTCTGCACTCAAACTGCAATATAAATAAACGATTAGAACATTCTAAGAAAAAATTCATTACAAATTCAAAAGGACAAATGCTTAACAAGAAGGATCATCTTCAAGGTGGCACAAAACCATTAATTCATTGGAATCGACACTGGATCAGCACAGGAATAAACAAGGAATTCAATCAAAAACAATATGTAATTCAAGCATCACAGAATGTCAGATCCAACTGTTTCCCCAGCTAATAATTATTTCCCGGCAAGATTCAAGAAAGTTGTGGCCAAAACTTAATCTTTCAAGCTTCGCGGAAAAGACAACCTACTCCAGTATCAAAATTGCACTATGAAGAACCTTTGGTCTTGTTTGGGATCAATTTTGTCTTTTGTTTATATTTTAACTTTTACCTTTAAAAACATGATTGCTTAGTGTATTTTCATATGTTTTTATTTTTTTTTTAAGAATACTCAAAAAGACTTTTATATGTTTTCTTACTTGACAATATCAAAAAATAATTATTTAAAAACAAAATATAAATAAAATAGATAAAAAGAGAAAAAACTAAAAATAAAAATGATCCCAAATAGGCCCTTGGTTTTTAAAACACTATGCCAAACAAGAGCACAATAATTTAAAAAATTGATTTCTTAACATCTGATAGGCATAAAGAGCATGTGAACTGAGCTAAAGATAATGGCAGTCTAATAGGAATATGACACTCTCATATATAAATTTTATCATAAACCAAATAACTAATGTTCACAAACTAGAAAAACAAGTATGAATGATCCAGGAGGATCCTCAAACATAGGCTCAACAATTGAGTCTAGATATAAGCCCAAGTTTTAGACCATTCATATAGGGCAAGAATTATTTTATTTTATCTTGTCCAATACTAGGTTTTAGGCTTTTGAATTGGTCAAACCTTATATTTTAGGGTCCTTTTGGAGCAGCTTATTCATAGTGGCGCATTTTCGCACCGCATAAATGGTTGTTTGGTTAGTGTAGCGGGGCAGCAGATCCTATGCCGCGCTCATAAACGTGGGCAACATATTTAACATTGTGGTCCGCATTTCCTTCGTATTATCCCCCCCACCTACCCTGCGTCTCTGCCCTAGAGCTCCCTCGCTTACTCGTCTGAGCTCCTTTACATCTCTTCCTCTCTCCTGCGGCCTCTCTCCCCTCTCTCGTTTGTGTCGTAAGAAGCAATCGACTCCTTCGCTCCCACTGTATCTTCTATCATTTTTCTATAAAAGTTGAGGTTGATTTGAAATGTGTTTCTTTCTCTGGAAAATTGTGGCTTTGCTCTATCGTGAATACTGATATTCAATTAGCAAATAGGAATATGGATTTTGGATTTTGGTTTTCTCTTCCTTTTTTGTGTGGTTTGCAAGCTTTGCTCTACTCGGATTATGGCATGCACTCTCATTCTTCATCCTGATATATTTACATACCTAACATCCGAAGAATTTGCGATTTTGCTCTAGCTTTGCTCTGTTTAGTTGTTATTCGTTTTTTATGTGAATATTAGTTGGGATTTTATCAAGCATTTTGATATTTACGGCTGGAGAGGCATGAATTTAATGAAGCTATTCGATGTGCACATAGGTTTGAGCTAAAGCTGAATTTGTAAAAAGCAATCTTTTAGGTGTTGTGTATGTTTTGAATATGTAGGTTTGGTTTTATGGTTAATTCTGCCTTTGCAGTGAGAAATTAGAAAAAAAGGCAAAGATTTTGAAAAAAAAAAAATGCATTAAGAATTTTGATATTTTAATATGGAATGGTATTTTATGGTGGTGGTGGTGTTGGAGGTCATGTTTGTTGTTGTGGTGTTTTTGGTGTGATGTTGGTGACATGATAGTGGTGGTGTTGGTTGTTTCTTTGTCGCGTCGTCGTGTATGTTGTTTCTTAGTGGTGGTGGTGGTGTTGTTTTTTGTTTATTTTGGTAAAATGGTGTTGGTGGTGTTGGCGGTGTTGTTTGTAGTGGTGGTTTAGGGGGTGCTTTTTTTTGATGAAATTGTGGTGGTGGTGTTGGTATTGGTGGTGATCTTAGTTGTGGTGGTGTTGGTGTTGTTTTTTTGGTGAAATGGTGTTGGTGGTGTTGGCGGTGTTTTTGTAGTGGTGGTTTAGGGGGTGCTTTTTTTGGTGAAATTGTTGTGGTGGTGTTAGTATTGGTGATGATCTTAGTTGTGGTGGTGTTGGTGTTGTTTTTTTGGTGAAATGGTGTTGGTGGTGGTGGTGGTGTTGGTGGTAGCGGCGGTGGTTTTTTGGGTGAAATTGATGGAGATGTTGGTGTTGGTGTTGTTAGTGTTTTTTTTGGGTGAAATTGTGGTGATCGTGTTGGTGGTGATGTTGGCTGTAGTGGTGTTGGTTGTGCCATTTTTGTGACATGCTTGTGAGGGGGTTGATGGTGATATTGGTGGTAGTGGTTTTGGTGGTGTTCTTCAGTAAAATGGTGGTGGGGGTGTTGGTGGGAGTGTTGGTGGTGGTGGTAGTGGTGCTTACTTGGTGACATGGTAGTGCTTTTTGGTGACATGGTGGTGGTGGTGGTGGTGACATGTTGGTTGCACAAATATTGACGTTGGTGGTGGTTTTTTTTTATGAAAGGGTGGTGGCGGTGTTGGTGGACTGTTTTATGGTGATGTTTCTTTTCATTTATTTTTTCGAGTTGTGGTATTTTAAAAGGCATTTTATGTTTTCTTTGGCAAGTAAATATGTTGTTGGGTACTGTTCATGCTAGTATCACCATAGTTAAGGCTAAAGAGCTCGGTTCGTCCGCCATGTGGGATAAAATTGTCAAAATAATAGTTTTGCGATATCTGCTTTAAAGGGATGGAATTGAGAAATAGGCCAACAATCTATTTTAACAAGAAGAGCTGACAAAATATTATAAAAAAATTCAAAGAAAAAACAAGAATAGAATACAATAGGATACAATTGAAAAATAAGTGGGATCAATTTAAAAAAACGTAAAAATTTTGAAAAGGATTGAAGCGAGGATCCACGGACTTGGGTTGGGATCCGACAAAACGAACAATTAATGCTATGGAAGAATATTGGACCAAGAGATTGGAGGTGTGAACTTATGAAACGCCTAGTTCTTCTATCAATTTTAAATTTTCTTTTATTACATCGACATATCAATCATCCATTACTTTGTAGTAGTGTCAACTGCGAAAAAATTTAAATTCAACCACATTGACTCTGAGTTAGACGAGAAATTGGATCTTATGTTTGGTGAAGTAGTTGCAACGAGCGATCATGCATGGGCCCCTGGTGAGAGAAGATTTGTTGTCATAGTTGAGCTTGTGGATGTCGCACGCAAACAGTTGTCTCCAATGAAGGCCCCAACCCGAACCTCAATTAAGTTGAGTTCACCAATTGATCAAAGCGTCCTAGGGTTGAGAAAAAGAAAAAACTGGATACTTGTTTTCAAGTATGAAATGTATTAGCATAATTGGTTCTGTTATAAACAACAAAATATAGGGGCAGAAAGATCACTGATTCAGAAACAACTGCAGCATAGTTAGTACAAAACTGCAAAAAACAAACAGACTGTTAGTTTCTATACAACAGCTTATGCGTAGCAGCTTCCTGACACAGCTGTTGTGCATTAGTTTTTTAATAAGTTGCAGTTGCCCTAAACAGACCTTGAGTAGTTTTCTAAAATCTAGGAATGTAGGTTTCAGTTTTTGAATTTTAAGGGTCTATTTGCCAACATTTTTATTTTTGATTTTAAAAGATAATACAATAAGAGAGTAATACACGTTTGAAAAGTGTTCTTTTTAAACTAAGTTTTTACAAAACACTCTAAACAAGTTTAAATGTTTTAGATTGAGTTTTTTTTTTTTTTTTTTTTTTTTTTTTGTGGCATACAATCTTCATCTACATGCTTAACTAACAGCAATACATGTTTGATTAGCGTTCTTTTTAAACTAATTAAGTTTATAAAAAACATTCATAAACAAGTTTTGAAGTGTTATCTTCATCTAAGTGCTTAACTGGATGGCAGTGATGTGACCTTGGAAGAGCAAGCTCTGAGTGGTGAATAAGGATCAGCCCGGCAATGGTGATGAAATTAAAGGCAAAGGCAATTGAGGCACTGATGATGAGACTGTTAGGAATTGTGAAGAAGAGACTGGAAAGTTTGCAGGGCAATGGAGTAGTGGGGAGGGTGCTTTAAATAATAATTGAGGGGAGGAAGGGATGGAATCAGTGATAGCAGCACCAAGAAGCATTTTATGAACAATCCAAAAACCCACAGGCAGTGGAAGCAGTGAAAATAGCAAATTACAGTATGACAAAGATTGTTCTACTGATGCAAAGTAATTGTTGGCTAGAGGAGAAGGAAACCTGTGGCAATATATTTTAATTTTTTTGGGTAAATTGAAAAAGCCACACAATATGGTGAGCAAGATGGAGGCAAAGATCAATCAATATTCGCTTTAGATTGATTGTTTTTTTAAAAATAATAAAAAAGAATAACAAATATATTTTTTATTTAATGGCACAGAAAAAAAAATTAAATAAATAAAAGTGATGCTAAATAGACCATAAGTATTCTCTCTTATACTTATAGTTCATTAGGATTTAGAACTCCCTTTTTGTATATTAAATAGAAACATTTAATGCAATGAAAATCAGAAAACATCAAATCAAGTGAGATTTCAGATTTCCAACTCCCATCAACTATACAACAGTAGGCTCACCTTCTTTTTCCTCCTTTATCTCAGTTTAGCAAGAACCATAGCCAATAAGATTATGGAAATCTGCCAAGCAATCACGTTGGCATGTTCCAATTGGTTAAATTCTATCTAGAATAGTGAATGTACTATCAAGATAGTAAAATGCAACCATTATGAAGGCAATTCCAGCAATAATTACGGATTACAAGGGTAGAAAACATCAATAGGCTTGCCCGCAATTCCCTACAACTTTTTCATCCAAAACTCCTGGTGCATTTAACCAAACATGGATTAATTGACTTATTGAATTTTGGATCATCTTTCAGGTTTAAGAGTCCGTGAG